GCGGCTTAGCGTGAGCTGAGGCCGGGCTAGAGTGAGCAGAGGCGGCGGGGTCGAGAATGGCGCGCCCGGCGGATCCGACGAAGGAGCGGCAACCACATGTGACGACCCCGGGCTAGACTCCACTTCATCCACGGTGAAAGCCGATCCGGTGATCCACAGCTCTAAGTTGATGTATTCCCTCAGCGACCAGCACGGATCAGCTCTAGGCATGAAGAAGCGGATATCGTCCTCTTTTGGAAGACCAAACAAAGTAGTTTCGCTTTCACAACGAAGCACACAGAGCCTTCACGACATGGCGGCAGCGACAACAATACTACAGCGAGAATAAAAGTTACGCCTTCTTTCTTTGCGTGAACTTTGCGTTGGGCGGCATTATGCAAATCTTCCCACATAGTGATGTAGATATGTGGGGGCGTGTTAGAACGAGCCGTTTTAGGTAGGCGTGGTTAATTCTTAACTTTTATAAAGAATATCTCTTTGGATTTGAGACTTTAGTCTTTGCAACTTTACAGATCTTCGTTATGCACCAAGAGCTTGTAACACTCCAAAGAGAAAGGAAAACTTGAAATCGCATCATATGACCCCTTTAAAGAAATGTTTTTTTTTGTTTGTTTTTTAACCAAGGCTGGTGTGTCAGCTTCCTGATTAGTAACAAGAAAGATAAACATGTTTCCTCATTCCAGAGTTTTAGAGTCATGATTGACATTTGAAGATCATGAGAAGTAAACTCTTGATGAGGACTCTGGTCAGGGTGCCTGGTTATAGCAACAGCCACTGTCGTCAGCCAGCATGTGACTGAGAGTAGTTGATTACTCACCAGCTCATTGACACTAGACTGTGCCCTAAGATTTCAGTGCCACTCCCTGTATCACAGAGCGGTCTTAAACTACACAAAGAGCACAGACTCAGCCTAATTCCTCAGTCCAGCAATAAAATATTGTCACTATTTTTCAAAATTTGATGGTTTGCACTTTGTTCTTGGATGAAATTTGGAAAGGATGAATACAAAATCTTATGTTGTGGCATTCTCAGGAAGCGGCAGTAAAAGAGACCATTTCAAAGAAATAGACTAAGCGTGGTTTGTATACCACTTAAAACTCTAGGCAATTGTTTTAAGGTAATTGGTTGTACTTTTTCAAGTTGTTCGCCATCTAAAAAAGTTTGAAAACTAGGCCTACTGGTATTCTGACCTACTGTATGTGGTTTAGAACTGGCCTACTGTGGTTGTACAATAAAGGTAATTATTACTAATCCAAGTCCAAAAGTGCTTTTCCACTATCAGGCTGAACGCTTACTTTTCCACTATTAGGGGTGTGCTATATTGATAATATTTTATGGGATTTTGTCGATAATGATAATTAGACAATATTTTGTTGAGTGTGTTTTTGTGCTGGTACCTTTACTGGATTAGGCCTATTGTGGACAGCCTGACTCCCAAAGCTTTTCGTATTCTTCATATTCTGAATCTGCAATGGTTCGTTTACAGCAGTGACAAAAATGAATGTTTTCAATAAGGGTCCATATTGGCCACCTTGAATTGATTTCCAGAGGCATTTTTACCTTTATAGAGGCAATTTTTTCTAACATTTTTTTCCTAACTTTAAATAAAAAAAAGATAAAAATGACTTTAAATATGAAACCAAAACTAGTAGTCAGTAGGTCGCGGCAAGTCTTGATTGAGTGAGTCACTCAACCGATTCATTCAAACGGCTGATTCATTCATGAACAAAGCAAGTGATTGTCTTTATGAATGGATTATTGAATCGTTGATTTGTTCAAAAACTCTGATTCAAAAAATGTGTATAAAATGTAAGATGATACATATTGCGCCCCCCCCTCCCCGCACAGTTGTACATTTCTGTACCGATCCAGGCTTGCTGACACAATTTTTTTGTTTGTTTTCTGTTGTTGTTCATCAAAATCAGAATGTACGTGACCAATCCTGGGTCACTATAAAGCCGTTCCATTACACTGTAAAAAGTGGTAACCTGCAATTGTTACATTAAAAAGCTATTTCTACCTGATCTTACTCTAACATTTAGTTTTGTTGGTGTAACCTAATATATTTAGGTTGATTCAGTAATGCTTAAGTAACTTTTTTTTTTTATTTGAATAAAATCACTTTATTTAGATGTTACCACATGAAGCATATTTTAGGTTACCATTTTTTCAATGTATTTCTCCTGTCCAGAGCACAGTTCATTAACCATGATGAGATATCGGTGCATGGTTTGCAATCGTACCTTACCAAACCACATTCTAATGGAGATGTTGCTGGTACTGTTACCACTCAGTGGTGGAAAATGGATTTGTTTTCTTACTTATTAGCCCACCTTTCATCATGATTGAGGTCCCTGATGTGCTGTCTGTCTGTATTGCAGTGCTGGACAACGGAAAAGTGAAGCATTATAAGATCAGAAAGCTGGAGAATGGTGGCTACTTCGTGTCAAAGACTCGTAGTTTTTTCACACTGAGAGATCTAGTGGAGCACTACTCCAGAAATGAGGATGGCCTCTGTGTTTGTTTGGCAGAACCCTGCAAAAAAGTGTGTAACATTTTCTATTACTTCAATAATTTTTTATTTATTTTACAACAATAATTGTCTGACTGTACTTTCTCTCACTTAATACATCAATTAATAAAATGGCATGACATTTTCATTCGAAATTATTTGATTTTGTTCAAAGAATGTGAGACATTGTTGAAATTATAGAAAAATCTTTGACAGCAGAATACAGCAACTGACCGATTACAATAGTATTCCACAGAGTTGTACAAGATTTTTATAAAATATTCAATCCAATGCATATGTCCTTGCTTTTGTGTGTGTGGGTATTAGACAATGGCTCCAGAGACACATGGTCTATCTTACAACACTGTGGATCATTGGGAGATCTCGCGTTCCTCTTTAAAACTCTTGAAGAAGTTGGGAGCAGGGCAGTTTGGCGAGGTCTTTGAAGGCATATGGAATGACAGAACAGCCGTCGCTGTCAAAACACTCAAGCCAGGTACACAAACAAACAGAGACAAGATGGATACACATATGAAAGACATACAACTCCAAACATACATGCACATGGCATGCTATACTGTATGTCTGTTGTATGTTTGATAGGAACTATGGATCCAAAAGACTTCCTGCGAGAAGCTCAGATCATGAAGAAACTCCGTCATGCCAAACTGATCCAGCTCTATGCTGTCTGCACTACGGAAGAGCCCATCTACATCATCACGGAGCTCATGAGCCACGGGAGCCTTCAAGAATATCTGCAAAGTAAGACACACTCACACAAGTCTCAAACACAATTATGTCAGGTTTTTCCTTTGACATTGTAATCAAGATTATTCATTTTGATTAAGAGAATTTACATTAAAATACTTATTTTATGTGGCACATCTGTATACCAGATTCTTGTACAGTACACATCCAAAACAAGCTGAGAACCTTTTTAGCAGCATTAAAAACAAAACTTTTGTACACAAGAAAGTGATATAACAACTGGAGCAGAGCAAAAGGAAAGGTTGAAATCAATAGTTTTCACAGTTAGTTAATGGCAGCAGCTGTGATGTTGATTACATGGGAGAATTATTATGGATATTACATTTCATAATTATTTATTATTAACATTTGCTGTTGCAGTCATATTATAGAAATAACAAGACACACTGTTTGTTAAAACAGGTGTTTCTTGAATACTGCCAGTGGTCAGACAATAACTTCTAGGGGTGTAACGGTTCAAGTTACTCACGGTTTGGTTTGTATCACGGTTTCGGTACAGTTCGGCATTTGCTATGTTTAGGGAAAAAAGGACTATATTGTCAAATAAAAATAAAGAAAAAAGAACAAATAATCTAATTACAAGCAACAGAACAAATAAAATAAACTGTGCTTTTCAGTTTTTTTTTAGGTAGGTCTAAAAGTTTTTAGGTACAGAAATTGAATAAAGTAATCAAATGTAAAATAACATTGAATATTTGACTGTATAAATTAAAGATGAATCTTTATTAAAGTTACAAAAGCTATTCAATCAAGCGCAGTGAGGGATTTCATTGTCCTTTGTTGTTTGATTAACATTAAAAAAGTGCTGTCACTTTAAGACAATGCACGGATCCAGTGCACTGATACTGTACGTTCAACCGACTATGTCTGCCAGGATACTCACCAAGACAGGCATTTTGGCATAATTTTTGTGTAAATTTGTCCTTTCAAGCACGACTTGAAAACAAACTCAATATTTGCACGCGTTCTGAGATGCAGGTTTGCACGCACACAGATCTTCTCACGGCGCACGCAAGTTCTCATTCGCGTCTTCTGGCTCTTTAATATTTAAACTGGCAAGGCTTAAATGAGTTTAGTTTAAACACAGATAGCAACGTGT